ATATATATATATATATATATATATATATATATATATATAGGTTGCGAATTACATTCTCCAGGTTCTTACGTAAACAATAAATTTCTTGTTTAACTTTAATTTCATGCGCTGCTTCATCTGGTTGTGTTTTTTAACTGCAGTACAAATATGTTTTCAAACCAATATAGTTTTTACCTCAAAACAGAAAACCAATTAATTTTAATTGCGTTAGTGCTAGTAAAATGCCTATTAAGATGATTTACAGAAGAAAGAATAAGGTGGGGAATAGGGGATTAAAACACTTCCATTGTATTCTTCATGTACATCTCTGTTCTTGTATCTTCCTGATACTAAACTAGGGATTTGGGAAGTGTCAGTAATATAATTCCTATTTCATCCTTCTAATTCTGATCCAATTCAATTACTCAAACATGTTGTAGACAAAACTTACATCAATTAATTTTACTTTAGGTTGCTAGCTGGGGTGGTGACTTGCTAGATCGCGGGATTCTAACTCTTTCTCTTGCACCAAGAGATAACCATGAAGCTCAGGTTCAATTTGCTCTGGAGCGTGGTATCCCTGCAATTCTTGGTGTCATTTCTACACAGAGACTTCCATTCCCATCCAACGCTTTTGATATGGCTCATTGCTCCAGATGCCTTATCCCATGGACAGAATTTGGTACTTTATTTTTATAGATTTTGAACTTTTAGTATCTAAACAGAATTTATTCCTTTTTATGCAACACTTTTCAATGATCACGAACTTTAGTACTTTACCCGATAGTAGCTGCTTATGTTTTGGATTTCAAGCATATGTAGTAAATACACGGGGTTATTTCAAATCAGGCTGATATATTGTTTTGAATGAGAACCTGGATATTTGGTTCTTTATTGGCAATTTTTGACTTCTTGGGTTTTAATCAATGTGAAGTTGTTTCTATTTGAGAGGTTTTATTGGCTTGTTAAGTGTGACTGTTTTATAAAGTGGTAAACAGTATTCCTTTGAATTAGATCCCACATTTATTTCAGGTTGTCAATTTCACCCTAATCTTGCTGTTTTGATTATTTGTTATTTGTTTTCTTCTAATCTCTTTCTACTTATAGCTCTGATAAGTTCACTCTAAATTCTCATTCTTTTTTATGGGGCATCTGGTTTTAGGTGGAGTTTATCTCCTTGAAATACACCGGATTCTTCGTCCTGGAGGATTTTGGGTCTTGTCTGGTCCACCAATCAACTATGAGCGCAGGTGGCGTGGATGGAACACAACAATTGAAGCACAAAGATCAGATTATGAGAAACTGCAGGAATTGTTGACTGCATTGTGCTTTAAAATGTACAAGAAGAAGGGTGACATTGCTGTATGGCAGAAGTCTTCGAATAACAATTGCTATGATAAGCTGGCTAGAGATACCTATCCACCTAAATGTGATGACAGCCTTGAACCAGATTCAGCATGGTATACTCCTCTTCGTGCCTGTATTGTGGTTCCAGATCCTAAGTTTAAGAAATCAGGTCTATCATCCATTTCGAAGTGGCCTGAACGGTTGCATGTTACACCAGAACGGATTTCAATGGTTCATCGTGGGAGTGCTAGTGCTTTCAAACATGATGACAGTCAGTGGAAGAAGCAGACTGCGTATTACAAAAAGTTGATCCCTGACCTTGGGACTGACAAGATAAGAAATATAATGGACATGAATACGGTATATGGAGGTTTTGCTGCAGCCTTGATTGATGATCCTGTGTGGGTCATGAATGTAGTCTCATCACATGCTACCAATACACTTCCTGTGGTTTTTGATCGAGGCCTTATTGGAGTCCTCCATGACTGGTAATTTGGAAATATTTAATATGAGCAATAAGGATTTTTTATATCGAACATACTTTTGCCTTGTAAGATCTGATGTTGATTTGATTTTTTTATGGTAGGTGTGAAGCTTTTTCAACATATCCTCGAACGTATGATTTGCTTCATCTTGATGGACTCTTCACTGCAGAAGGCCACAGGTGATTATGTCAACTCATTTTCATAGAACATTAAACTAATAAATTATAATACTGAACACAGAAATCACACACAATGCAACAATACACATGCTGTCCCAGAGACTAAAAGTCTCCATCAGAGTATTCTCTGTTCACAAACTGCAAATAGCATGCTTAATTACATATCCTACTATCTGGTATATTCCTAATGAATAGTCGAAATCAGTTAATTTCTATGAATAACTGCCCCAGAAAGTTTCTAATACAAAATTATTTTAGGATAAAGTTATTTTCTAACCCAATCCATTAATGGATCCTTTTCTAACCCACTTGGATTTTGGTTCCCATTGCATTGAGCATTAACTAATGAATATATGACTATAGAGTGAGCTGTTGTATATAGACACATAAAAATGTTTTGGTCAAAATCTATCACTTGGACTTTTTAATTTACTTTTTTAAACAAGTTAATTTGAACGGGCTCTAAATATATTTAGGGGAAAAAGAGATAAACTTAACTTTTCCGTTGTTGCGGTGATTCAATTATCTTTAGGTTTTGCTTTGCAACTTTAGGATTTTATTTCCTTGTGAACTCACTTGGATTGAGACTGAAGGTAGTTTTATTTTGAAATTTATGTTCTTGGATTTAGCTTCTAACAATGGGAGCAAAGGAGCACCAACCTTTAAAATAATAAGTAATAACTGTACACATCTGTGTCGAACACTTAATGGACACTTGGGATACACCTAGCTGCATTTTACAATTTCTTTTAATAAGTTTTTAGCTTCAATACTAATAAAAATGTGAATATCATATTTGATAAATGATCATTTCTTTTTATCTCAATTGTGACTCATTAACTTTAAAACATTGATTCTCTTTTTATTCACCATTTATGTTAATTTTATACTAATAAATTATACTGTAACTATGCTGTGTCCTATTATAATTTTTAAAATTTCTTGCATCTCTGACTTTGTATGTCGTATTGTATCTGCCTTTTGTTATATTTTCTTGTGGGTTAATCTCTAGGTTGGGATTAATATTTTCCATTTACCGGAATAGCAATGTTGGTTAACACAATGAGTAATTTGACGTCATCCTTTTCAAGTATTAGAAGATCTAATTTAATCCAACAGTAATTACAGTGACTTAAATAGGGCTTATTAATTTGTTTCTATGGCCGACACTGAACTTGTTCTGACAATGATTGTTACATGGCAGGTGTGAAATGAAGTATGTGTTACTGGAAATGGATCGAATCTTACGACCTTGGGGGTATGCAATCATTCGTGAATCCAGTTATTTTACAGATGCCATCACAACCATTGCTAAGGGTATGCGTTGGGAGTGTCGTAAAGAAGATACTGAGAATGGCAGCGACATTCAGAAAATACTAATATGCCAGAAAAAGCTATGGTATTCATCCAACCAGAGTTCAAGATGACAAACTATGGAACTTGATGATGGTGGTACTGGTTAGGGTAGTAGTGCCATGGAGTAGAAGCAGAGGAAGGGAATTCAGAGTTGCTCCGGGCATATATGGACTCGAGTTCTATAATATAATGAGCCAAGATTCAGTCAAGTTTAACTTTGTCAAAAGAACAAGTGGTAACCCACTAATCTGATTTTAATTTATAGAGAGAAATTTCATATATACATATTACATAATTATATATCACTTGCTTTCTTTTAAGCACCCACCACTCCCTTTAGACAAAAAAAATGTTTGTTTAGTAACAAGATGCTGCCAGCGTGAAGGAATTGAATCCCACAGGAAGCATATGATTTACCACGAGTGCTGCCATTTCAAGGACCGTGATATTTGTGTATAGTAATTGTTTTACCGAGAATAGCACTCTGCACTTGTATTAATGCTGAGCATGATGCAGTGAAACTCGGACATTTTTTTAGATTGTTTTTACTGTGAGTTGGCAAATGAAGTTCTACTTGTTAGGTGGAATTACTGGAGTATTTAAACTGTTACTTTGATTCACGAATAGTGGTTGTATCGTTAAAATGAGATTTATTCTACAGTTTGCTGCAGCGAACATTATTAACAGTCATGTTTGTCCAGCACTATTTCTAATTTCGTGAGTTCTCCTTGTACTCCATGTTAAGTTATTCTCGGAAGAAATTTAAGAGGATAATTTATTTATTTTATGAATTTAATATATTTTGGAATGAAATGTTTTGTTTGAAAAGAATTTAGAAATTATTATTATTAGTGAAAGTATTTTGATTATTTAGAATTATATAATTTTTTTTCAAGAAGTAAGAATTTCAAAGTTTTCAAAAATGTCAAAATTAAAAAATTTTCATATTTATTTTCTCTATTACTTAATTATATATCTTTTTTCTTCTTTATCAATATTGACATAAAAAGTATACATAATTTTTTTAAACTATTAAATATTTAAAATATGATTAATGTTTTTTTTTAGAGTTTAATAATAGCATTTCAATTTTTATGTATATATTCAATAATTAAGTTTGTATATATGGTAAACATTAAATTGTCTAAACGAAACTAAGAATTTATGATTTTAATAATTTTGAATTAATTTATTCAAACAAACTATTTAATAAAATTTCTATTACTGGTACAAGTGAACCTAAACACAAGGATGTTAAGTCCATGAAGAAAAGTCAAATACATTATTCCCACCAATTTGTAATCTACCGAGTGAAAAACGATTGTACCTAAACAAAGAAAATTGTGTGACAATAATGGGATGTTGTCTAGTTAAACCTTTGCTTGTCCTACTTGGTACAAGCCATTCCTTTGCATAGATTCCTTCACAATATTTTCGTCATCTAGGCCATTGTAGCTTTGACCATATTGTTAATGGCTTGCTTGTGGTTTCGTTCTGCACCAAGTTATCAATGTGGCACTGGTTAACCACTCTAAAAGCTCAATCCACCTTATCAATAAAAGACATTGCAGGGAGTTATTTTGCAAAGCTAGCATAAATAGAAATACAAGTCAATGTATTAATGTGCCAATTTGAAAATGATAGAGTTTCCACCATTGAAAGCATTTAATCAAGACTATGATTTCACCTTTATAAAATCCAATGTTTGCAATCCTAATCCTACAATGTTTACATCCTTCTTTTGAGATGAAAGGAAAAAGCCTTGGAAATACCTCTTTGAGAAAAGATGTCTTTAATCAAGTGTCATGCCAAAAGTTGGCCCATTCTCCGCTTCTCACATTGTTAGAGAACTATCTCAAAACAATATTAGGTTGACTTTCTAATTTGTTTAAGTCCAACCACCACAATGATGTTACTTTGTAATTCTTATTGCATGAAGTACTATCCCTATCCATTGGCCCATATATATAGTTAACTATTTTGCACTAAGTTACACTTGATTGTCGCGACATCTCCATTTCCATTTATAATGATTAAGCTAAGGTTAATCCTTTCTAGATTCTTCACTCCCAAACTATCTTTTTCCTTTGGGAGACAAGCTTATTCCCATTTGAGGTGTGGAATAGCTTTGAAATGTGGAGATCATGCTTATTGCCTTGAAGATTATCATTTGAGGTAAGAGGGTGAGTGAGAATGCCTCACCATATGGATATGTATAAGAGATTTGGGTAATGAGACGATCCCTAAGCCTTCTTGGGATTTTCAATATTATACATTTAATGAATTGATGATTTTTTGGGTTGATTACAGTTTTATGAGCATGAGTTACCGTGAATTTCATAATTTGAGATGATAAATTGTGCTTTATCTTGTGTTTGCTTGTTGAGGGTTAGGGTTTAGAATGCATCATTGAGGGTTTTGTATGAATTGGATGTTTTAGCATTAATTGATATTAAATAAGTGTTTTATGAGTAGATTAAGGGGGGTGTATTAGATTAGGATTTTAAAGGGCTTTTTTAGTTAAAAAAAGTCTTGTGGATTTTAAAAGACTTTGCAGGATTTTCATGACTTTTAAGATTTTGTAGGATTCCACAAGACTTTCAATCAGGATTTTAATGGATTATGCAAGACTTTTAAGTTAAGATTTTAATGGATTTTGTGAGACTTTGTGAACTTTGTAGAATTTCGTAATTTTTTTACATAGGATAAGTGTTCAAATTTTTTTTCTTCATATATTCAAATTTAAAAAGAGTCAAATATAAAAATAATAAAAAAAATAATAATAATGTCTGGATAAATAATAAATAATAATAATAATAATAATCTGTAATATCATGTCGTTCTAAATAGAATTCACCCATATATCCATAGTTATACTAGTTATCCAAGCATTAGTATCTTTTTGCTCTTGCTCCTGGGTTTTAATAATAGGTTCAAAATTATGATTTTTATTAATCGGTAATGTTGAAGATGAAGGTTCATCTATCACTCTAATTGAAAATTCATCAGAATGACATTCTTTATGAAGAAAGTTATGTAGTGTCGCACATGCTAAAAATTATTCTAAATAACATTTCAAATTTTTTTAATTTGTGATTTGAAATATTTTATTTATAATTTTATAAATAATTAAAAAAATAGTGGGACAACTACCCTACTCTCTTATAATTAAATATGTCCCTTAATTTTATATCAGTACTGAAGTAGAAATTTACAAACATCAACTAGAAGAAAAAAAATATATTTGAAATTTGTTACAGGTACAAAATAATTTTTTTAATTTTTAATTGATTTCAATTATTCACTCGTGAAGAAATATTTTTAATATTAAATTCTAAGATACTGCAATGCCTTATGTTAATTTTCTTTTTTAAAATATAAAAAATCCTATTTCATAATATAAAAATTAAAAAAAACAAAATTCATAATAAAAAAAGAAATAAAATAATTGTTGAGTCATAAAAAGGGAAGGATAACAATAACAAATTCAAGAGAGGGAGAGAGATCGCAGGGTTTGTATTGAGAGGGTTCTTCCCTCAACTAAGATCCATTCTTATCTCATTCTACTCACAGGAACCCTAACTCAAATTCATCTTATATATATATATATATATATTTCTAATAAATCTAAATTGATTACAAGGTCTTGAAGATCTATAGTTGATTATAGAGATCATGATATCAATTTTAGCTTTCACCTTTTCCTTTTCTTGACGCGTGTTATAAAAAAATTACTACTTAAAAGTTGAAATTTTAAGCATTTTCTGCATTATATAACTGAGGAACAATCTCAACTAATAAATAGAGAAAAATAAAGCAAGTCAATTAAAGAGAATAGAGAGAAAAATAGAGCAAGAAGTTTCACCAAATAGGAGAATGGAATGAGAACAGTAGTACAGTATTACATATGAGCAGTAGTGCAGTATTATTAACAAGAGAAAAAAAATGGAGAAGGCATGAGCATAGAAGAAAAAAAAAGATGACAAAATCACTTGGAAATTCTTGAAGCACTTGAAAAGTCACTTTAAACAATCCTCCAAAATCTTATGGGTTTGGATGGGATTGTTTTATGAATTTGGTATTTATAGATACCATTAAAAAGTCCTTCAAAATCCCTCTAATACAACAATCCTTTAAAATCCCTATATTTTTGAATACCAATGGATTATTTTTAAGTTGTAAAAAGTATCAAATGAATACCAATGGATTTTAATGGACTCTTTAAAAAATCTTGAAAATCCTAATTGAATACCACTGGATTGTTTTTAAGTGACATAAAATCCTGATCGAATATCAACGAACTTTTTTACTCAAAAAAAGTCTTTTAAAATCCTATGAAATCCTTAACCAATACACCCCCTAAGAGTAATTGATCGAATAAATTGAGATAATAAGTGTTGAGATAAGATTAAAGGGGTCGTAGAACCCTAAATTGTGATTTTGTGAAGTGCGAATTTCGTGATCATGCTAGGTGCATGTTCATGGTGCTAAGCATAATGAGGGCATAAAGGTTCTATCCTCTTCACACTGGGCGTGGGAAGTGTCACGCCAGGTGCGAGAGCCATAAATAGGTCCTTGAGACCTCAATGCTAGGCGAGGATAATGTCTTATTGGATTCCATTTGACATTGGTTTCTGCAAGTCGTCTCTTTAAGTGTGGATTCAGTCACACCAGGTGAGAATGTGACAATGACCTCTTTAGTGCGAGAAATGCCTCTCTTGGCGCAATGTCAAAAGTTTGAGTTGCGATAGAGAGTGATTTGATCCTTAAGTGTTTATTTTGAGAAGTGCTTAGGCTAATTAAGGAAAAGAAAAGAGTGAGTAAGAATTATGGTTATGTAATTAGAGAAGAAGAGATGATGATAATTATGAACAAATAGGAGTTTAAAGGATGTTGTTATGGTTGAGACATATGTGATGTATGAGATGAGATATTGCTTTTTAACTTGAGAATCTTGTGTGCAACATTTGAGACATTTGAGAATGATGAGATATGAGACAACATTGATGCATGATGTGAAAAAGTACAAGTAGAGGCTTGGCAACGAGAAATCCAAGTAAAGTTTGGTCATTTGAGATGTCCAGACACAAGTCTAATAGTGTGATGCTATTGCATTTTTGTGTGATATGATTAGAGTCCATACATACATACATAGTTTGTTAAGAGGTAGATGTGTTTCTATGTGGGAGAATCTCTATGGTTGTCTATCTTGACTCCAGGGGTGTTATGGTAAAGAACTTCTAACAACGGAGGGAAGTGACCACATGCAATTGTGATACCCCAATAACTCCTAATAAAATTCATTCTAATAAGATTGGACCATGTTGAGATAGGTGCCTCTTGTTTGGTGGCCTTGTGTTTTGTCCATGTACTCCTAGACTATTTTAACTTTAAGTGCCTAATGCGATTTTGAGAAAGGTATCACATACATATAGAATTAAGAACATGAGTCCTATCTATCTTGTGAAGTGAAATCTTAAGAATTGAGATTGAGATAAGAATGAACTATGTTAATATAGGAAGTGATTATGTGTGTAGGTACTACTCATATTTCATGTATGTGTCCATATTGGTGTGAGATATATTCTCACTCCTCTTGTATTGTTGTTTTCCTTGTTTGGGCTAAACGTCATTTGTAGGAATTGACCAGGTAGATGAGTTTGAGCTTGTGAGAGATGAATCTTAGGCTTCAATTTATGTTTGATGGGATTTC